GAAGGCAGAAGTGGAGCAACCCTCGTAGAAACTTGCGTGTAGGCGACATCGTTCTCATCAAGGATGATAACGCGCCTCGAAACCTTTGGCGAAAGGCTCGCGTTGACGAAGTTTACACGGACGAAGATGGTTTGGTGCGAAAGGTCAAGCTTATTGTGGCAGATCCTCTGTTGAACGAACGCGGAAAACGAAGTCGAGTTGCGACCATTTTGGAACGTCCTATTCAGAAGCTAGTTGTACTTCTTAAAGTCGAAGACACGGAGAACGTTGAAGAGTGAAGATTCCCCGACAAGGAGCCAACTGTGAACTATTGAACATTATCGTCGTTGTTATTATATTCAGTTATGTAGTGGTAAATTATCGTAATAGACAATTTAGGGGAGCCATGTAACTGCGAACCGTATAAGGGCATATTAGTGCTCAGGCCCCACAAAAAAACAATACGTTTTAATATACCAACTTGAACTTATGCGAACTTTTGCGAACTGTAGCTTACACGAAGGACTTATCTTAGTGATATTATTGTTAAAACATTCGTTTTACGTCAAGTTTAGACGTCAAGTTTAGACGTATGTAGAAGGATATTAAAGGTTAGATTCAACTTGCGTTAACGACTTACGACTATTCTTTAATCCTGGATGTCTCGTCTTGCTTGTCAGTGTTTATGAACGAATGAACAATCCTAGCACATGCGTCTAATATCACTAACGAAACGCTAGGAGTTACAGAAATTGTCCACGATGAAGACAAAGACAGTGTTTATTTTTTATGTTACCAGTACAACTTAAAACATATGTCAAATGTGTACCGGTAAATGCGTATAATAAATCAATGATTTGCATTATTAACAATGAGTATCTCATATTACACCACAAAGCTTTTCGCGCGGATTATATTCCGCGCAGTACTAAAATTTAGCGCACCCAGCGCTGTGCGAATTCTAGTACTACGCGAATTTTAATGAAGTAAGCTGGCTTTATTATAAGCTATTAAGCGAGGATTTTAGTCGTGCGAATATCGAGTATGGCATGACCAAAACATTCTGAACGGCCATACTGGGCATACGCGAGCGACCATTATCCAATCAGAATACAGTGTTTCTTGTATAAAATAATATAGCGAGTCATGCTCTTCACAAGAAGCATGACCAAGAAATATAGCACGTGTAAACAAAGAGCACGCTTGCTTGGTTAACAGGCTAGTGATGCAACAAAATTGTGTAATATTACGCTGCGACTGTTGTTCTACCTTTTATGTTATTAGAAAGTTCAAGATATCGAAGATTTTGGACTATTTAACAAACTTAACTAAATGGAAGCTATGTGTTATAAACTCTCCGCAACTATAAGGCATATTTATTGCAAGAAGACAAGAAGAATAATGCATATCATGGGCGTACCGGAAGGAAAAAATTAGGGGGGCGGAAAGAAATTTCCCCGACTTTTCGGGATTGTGCCTTAGGGGTCGAAAAATTTTTCCGGATATACCAAAATTTTTCGGAACATCGCACAAATTTTCCAAACAACACATAATTGACCACAAAATTGACTGAATTTCCGACTAAATTGACAGAATTTGTCCAATTTATTTTTATTACAAACCAAAACTGCCCGACTGTTGATCGAATATTGCCCGACTACCCAACAAACTGGGGGGCTACCGCCCCCCCCGCCCGGTACGCCTATGATGCATATTTTCATATTTTTTGGAGAATGTTTGGACTTTGGTCATGCCCATCATGACCGCTAGCTTCGCCACTGCATACAATATGATATAGATTACCTGATTCGGAAAATCGTTTGTGCTCCTTTGGTCGGAAATGCGAATCTTTCAGTCACGAAACATGTCGAGCTCAATGCCAAGAATTGTTCAATTCAGTACATCTTCATAATTGTCCGAGTATGTCCGTAACAGTAAGAGCCCTCTATCCGAAAACCTTCTAAAGATCGAACTCCTTAAAAAATGTATTTCTCTTTGGCAAATACTCTCAAAATCCATGCATGCCATGCCATTAATGAACCGGCATTGTTTATTTTGAATTCGGCGCCATATTTTAATATTTCCCGCGCTTTTATGAATAATTAACTTTAACAACAATCAATAATTAAGTGATACGAACATGTTACGAAGATTTTACGAAGATATTACGAGTTTATAGTGGAAAACCGCTTTCCAGTTGTATTGACGTCACCCTCAAAGAACGCCCGTGAGATAGTAAAAGCTAATCCAAAATAATCTATTACTTAATGAAAATTAACAGTTTATACGAGTTGTTCGTAACTCATTTAGGCAGCAGCTTATTTAAGCAAAGACATGTGATAACTATTTCCAGCTAGATTGTGGACGACTCAAATCATTGCTCTTTTATATGCCTCAAATGTCGGGCTTAACTCGAGCGTCGAATATTTTCAATGACTAATTCGAGTTAAGCCGGTTTTCCACTAGCGAAATTTGTCGCGCGAATCTTTTGTCTTATAAGCTCTCGGCTGGAACTAATTAGATTTTTAATAAATTCTTTTCAATTTTAACAATAAAAAATTCGCTTCGCGCGACGAAATTCGCTAGTGGAAAACAGGCTTTAAGCCGCTCGTTTTTCACAGGGCTTAACTCGAACTTTCCAAGTTGTGTTTCTTTCTTCGAGTTAAGCCCTTGACGAAAATGGGTGTGGTTTGGGCGTGGTCGGGGCTTAACTCGAGAAGGGCTTAACTCGAAGGACTTAACTCGAAGATTACCTACCTACGGTGGCCCATACTGGCCAACCCTTCTCCGTAGAAACTTGCACCTTCTCCGTACAAATGTGTTGTTATTCCATGGAAATCAAACTTCTCCGTGGAATATTGCCGTTGTTCTGTCACGGAAAGCCTTTTCGCCGTAGAAATATGCAGTTTCTCCGTGGAAACACGCATCTTCTCCGTGGAAACACGCAGCTTTTCTGTGGAAACACCGCAGCTTCTCCGCGGAAACGCGTAGCATTTATGTGAAACACGATGCGGTGGCCCGAACGGGGCACCTCTTCTCCGCAGAAACATGTATATATGTATGTATGTATGTATGTAAACTTTATTTAAAGACGTTAGCCTCGTCAACGATTTGTTGATTTTCACGAGGGACGTCTGTTACTATTAAAACTTACAAATATGATATAGGAAAGAATAAAGAATTATATACAACTATTTACAATACAAGAATTAAGTTCCAAACGGTGTGACCCATATTTCTAAAGCATGCATATACAGTATATTAGAAGATGTTAGCGTGAATCTTTCAGGCAGTTTTTAAAAGAATAAATTGATTGCGCTAGCTTCGCATCAGAAGGAAGACTATTCCACAATTTAGCTCCGCTATACTTAAAGCCTTTTTTTAGAAATTCTCGTTTTGGCTTAGCAAGGGTAAGGTCAGTATAAGTATTGCGAAGATTATAACTGGTTTGAACAAGGTCCCTTCTCGTTAGAGCATCCTTCAAGTTCGGCCCAGCGCAATCATTCAGGACTTTACACATTAATGTGGATTTAGTTGTACGTTGTCTTATCTCTAAATTTTCCCAAGCAAGGGATCGAAGAACATCAGCAGACCTTATTTCATAGCTGGCGCCGGTTATAATTCTCGCTGCACGGTTTTGGAACTTTTGAAGCTTATCTTTCAGCTGTTGGTTACAGACGTCCCATAATGGACTACAATAATCAAAATACGGTTCTATCAAAGCTCTGTAAATGGTATGCAGGGTATTTATAGGAACATATGGCTTAATTCGTTGCATTGCTCCTATGCCGGCCCCAACTTTCTTACAAATCATTTCAACATGCTCATGCCAATTAAGGTTTTCATCAAGTTTAACCCCAAGGCATGTGTATGAATGAGCAAGAGTTATGAATTGGTTATTCATCATTACTGGAATATCATAAGTCATAGTATTAGTATTATACTTTGAACCGATATACATTAATTTGGTCTTAGTTGGGTGGTGTTGCAGTTTATTTCGAGCAAGCCACTCACCAACTTTTTTCAGGTCATTATTTAGATTTTCAGTAAGTTCCTCAATAGTTTTGGCAGAAGTAGAAATTTGAGTATCATCAGCGTATAGGTGTGGCGAAGTTTTTTCGAGGCATTCGGGTAAATCATTAATATATAATAAAAACAGCAAGGGACCAAGAATTGATCCCTGCGGAACTCCGCACACAATCGTTTTAGGTGATGACATTGCACCGTTGACAATGCATGCTTGCTCTCTATTAGTTAGATAGGACTTAAACCAATCCAGTTCAACATTTTTTATTCCAAATTGATCATTCATCTTTTGCAATAAGATTGTATGATCAATAGAATCAAAAGCTTTTCTAATATCAAGGAAAACAACACCACTCAACTGACCATTATCCATGTTCTCATAAAGTGTGTCACACATTTGAATGAGTGTTGTTAAAGTTGAATGCTTAGGCCGAAAGCCAGATTGATGTTTAGATAGCGGCGAATTATCATTCAAAAACTTATAAATCTGGTTGAAAACCGATCTCTCTAGTATTTTACTGACAATAGGCAATATAGATATCGGTCGGTAATTTTAACATCTTTGTCTATCATCAGATTTAAAAATTGGCATTACCCACGCCTTTTTCCATTCATCAACATATATCCCAGTTTTGATTGAAAGATTATAAATCCATGTTAATGAAGGACCAATAACTTCCGCGGACAATTTAAGAGCTATAGCAGGGATGTTATCAATACCGGTAGACTTTGAAATTTTAAGATTACGTAATTGACAAATAATATCATCCATACTAATTTCAGAAAACTTAAAATTTATATTAGAGTAATAGTTAGAGTGGTAATTTTCATCATCTGAAAAGTTCGTACATGGAGAATCGTTCTCAATTTCATTAGCCAAATTTACCCCGATGTTAACAAAGAAGTCATTAAACGCCTCAGCTTTCAAAGTATCAACTGAAATCACAACATCATCACATTTAAGTTGAGAGATATTATTTGATTTTTTGTTTTTACCTAAGAGAATATTAATTAACTTCCAACTATGTTTCATATCTTTCGATTGTGCGCAGTTCTCAAATTTGTTACAGAAAAATGCTGTTTTAGCTTTAGTTCTGAATTGACTTTGTTACGTATTTCTTTGAATTTCTCCCAGTGAATCTGGGAATTATTTTTAACAGCCATTTTCTTGTAAGAGTCCCTAACCCTCATCAGATTTTTGATATCAGGGGAAATCCAAGGAATAGAATTTCCTCTAAGTCTCATCAGTCTTAGGGGCGCATGCCAATCAAGGACGTGTAGGAAAAGGGATCTCCATACCCGCCAACAAACATTTGGGTTATCATAAAGCGCCACATTTTCCCAGGGCATTTGGGAAAGATCATTAAGAAAGTTATTGGCATTGAATCTTTTGAAATTGCGAACATATCTTGTCTTTTGCCGAGATTTAGTGACACAATATTTTCTAACGGCAAAAACCAAACTATGATCAGATATTCCAAGATGAATAACACCAGATTTCGAAATATTTTCCTCTTTGTTTGTCAATATCAAGTCTATTAAGGTTGCTGATGTTCTTGTTACCCTTGTAGGTTCATTAATAAGTTGTCTATACTGGTAAAGTGAGGATAGAAATTGTAGTCTGCGTGTGTGAGCTTCGGGAGGACATTTTATGGTATCACAATTCAGATCCCCCATTATTATTACTTCAATATTTTCCAAGTCACATTTTCTAAGAAAAGTCTCGTATTCATTAAAGAGACTAACCTCACAATTTGGCGGTCTATACCATGTAACTATTAGAAATGACTTATTGTGTGGTTTCGTAATTTCAATGCATAGCATTTCTAACGAGTCAGATATTAATAAGTCATTTCGTTCAGAAAATGGTAAAGATTCTCGCACATATAATAACACTCCCCCACCATACCTATTTCTATCTTTACGGATATGATAATATCCAGGTATACTAATTTCATCATCAGACACTGAATGGTCAATTTTTGTTTCATTAATCGCCAGAATGTCAATAGAGCTATTTTGCATAATGATACGGAGCTGGTCGATACTTTTTAAAAGACTATTAATATTTAAATTTGCCATTTTTAGGCCTTTAGAACAATCTAAATCAGAAAATATATTATTAGATTCATCTATTTTACCTGTCGGAGGGTCACACCGATTGTAATCATTACTTAATACTCGGTCCTCTGAGCGAGTAATAGGAGTCTCAGTAGGTCCTCTAGTGAATGATTCTGATATGTCCGGCGACCTTGAAAATCCTACCCTCTCTTCCTTTGGCGATACTCTGATGGAGCTGGAATGTTCCCCCTTAGGAACTTAATAAAATTTGTTGCCAAGAATGCGGATCCTTTTGAGTTCAAGTGTAACAGGCCGCCATTTAAGCATGTAGCATCAATATTACTGTTTTTAATAAAATCAAACCCGTTCTTAGAGCACATTTTTTGTAATTCTTCATTAGCAGTGGAGATCTGTTTGCTTAAATCCAAGTCGTTTCTGACATTTATGCTGGATATTGCTATTCTTGAATCTGTAAATTTCTTTTTTATACACAAAGCTAGATTCTCGATGTTTTTAACGCAATTATGCGGCGGTTGCACAGAAAGGTCATTAGTCCCAGCATGTACAATAATGTGTGAAGGAAGTACTTCAACCTCCATAGATTCCACTTCAGATTTTATTTGTTCTGCGGTTTTGCCAGGAAACGTGCGTTTAATAGTTTTCTTTCGGGAGATCTTTTTAGGATCAATATGTTTGATGATAGAATCGCCGATAATTAGGATCGGGCTGTCGCTGCTACTTTTGGCTGTAGTATGATGAGTTGGGGTAATATTTGATAATGAGGCGGGTTGACAGGAAGTACTTTCATTCTGGGAGCGCGGATTTTTTGAGGTTATATTGTTATTGACCGCAATTTCTTTCTGTGAGAAAGTCGATGATTTAGCCTTCGTTTCGTAAATCTCTTCGTCGTCCTCCTGTTCAGAGCTTAAAACTTCAAACTGATTCTTTACTTTCAATGAGCTAGTAGCTTCAGGAGAAGAAATGGTAGCCATTTTCCTTTTCCGTTTCATCACTCTGGTGAATCCGAGCTTTTCATCTCTTAGGTTATTATTCTCGTTTTTCAGGGCTTCAATCCTTTTTTTATTTTCTTCTAGTTCATCTTTTCCTTCCCGTTGGATTAACTTCATTGCGGTTAGTAGGCTTGCTTTTTCATCTTGAAGGTCTATCACCTTAGCTCGAAGCTCTGACAAAGATACACATAAATCTGTATTTTCTTTTTCTAATTTATCATTCTTGTTGCTCAGCACCAGCTTTTCCTTTTTCAAATCACTAACGACTTCTTCTAATGACAGTATAGAGTAAGCTTTAAACTCTTTGATGCTAGATATTTCATTGCTAATGACCTCTAATTTTCGGTTGACAGAATTGGCAAAACACTCCATGTTAGATTTAATTTCATGAATTTCCGAGTTATGTGTGTAATTTGTTTCATTCGGATTAACAGAGAGATTATACATATTAGATCGTAGTGTTTCATTATTCAGGAGACTGTTTCGTGAACCAATATGTAAATTACTATCTTGTGACTTGAGAGTGGAATGCAAATTACTGTACTTTGAACTAACCGAATCTGTAATGACTTTGTCGCTTGAATTACTGTCGAAATATAAAAGTTTTTCTTTAATTTATTTTGCCTTATTCCCTTTTATCGTTAAAGTTCCAGAGTTTATGTACCAGCATATTACAACATCGCTGTTCTCAAATTGTTTACACTGTCCCCTCGGTGTAGTCCACTTCCCTGGCTGTAGTTGTAGCTGTTCAACAACATGACAAAGGCCCTCATAATCGCTTTGCCATTTCAGACTTCCTTTCTCCGTGACGAAAAGTCTACGTAAGTTTGAAGGAGCTTCGCTTTGATCTTTATTTTCACCTTGATCTTTATCACTTGAATGCTGTGAAAAAATGTCCAGCGATTCCAGCTCAAATCTGCTTTCATTGGTAGACTTTTCGCCGTCGTGTTCAACAACCTGAGATGTTGGGTTCTGTATTTCGGTTGTATTTCCCTCTGATTCTGATATATTTAACTCTGAACATATAGATTGACTATCAAAGTCAGTCATTATGCTTTGTGAAACGAAATTGTTCGAAATACAACTTGAAATTTTGATAAATACGGATAATTTTTCACACAAGCGTCACCACGGTCTCACTCACCCCAAGTATTACCCCAAGTGATTAAACAATAAGTTAAATATGGATACACCAAAGCATAGTAAAGGCTTTTAAGAATTTCCAGATTAACAAAGTGACGAACTTTTGAAATCGCGCCAATGTTACGTTTAATTTTCTTTGAGACATGAGAGACATGATCCCCCCAATTTAAGTGGCAATCTATAACTACGCATAAGTATTTGGTTTTGTACTCGCGTTTTAAAGATTCATAATTTAAAATCACCCGAAAACTATCACCTATCTTTTTCTGCATTGGATGGAAAAAACAAAACTAGACTTTTCAATGTTAAGTGACAATTTATTAGCACATAACCATGTACTAACACATTTTATTTCACTATTGATGCATGCATGACTCCAGCTTCGATAGATTCTTATCAGTATAAAAAATATTAGAATCGTCTGCAAACAAATGAAAATCTAAAATTGTGTCAAATGCCTTAGATAAGTCCAGAAAAATTCCACAAGAATAATTGCCATCCTCAATCGCATTCTAAATTTTATCTATTGTGGAAAGAACTGCATGCAGCGTAGAATGATTCGACCTAAAACCAACCTGCTTTTCATACAATAAATTATGTTTAGTAATAAAGTCTTTAAGCCGTCCACAGACTAATCTTTCAAGAAGTCCATTAAAAATTTAAAGTAATGAGATGGATCGATAGTTATTAAGAATAAGTTGTGAACCTTGTTTGTGAACCGGAATAAAACTAGCAATCTTAAATTTATCAGGGAGAGTGCTAGAAGAAATAGAACAATTAAATATTGTTGCTAAGGGTATAGACATATGTTCTTTTATTAATTTCACTAGTTTTACTGGCACACTGAATGGACCACTACTCTTTGATGTATTAAGGTTACTTATTTCTTCAGCAATTTCGTTTACACTAATTGAATTTATAGAAAAAACAAACTATTAGATTGTCTTGATGCTGGCATAAAAGACAAAGGAGATGCACTTGTTGCTGGAATATTATTAGCAAGATTATTGCTTATATTAGTAAAAAATGCATTAAAAGAATTTGCTATTGAATATATCACTGTAAATCTCGCGGTGTTGCGGCAACACCAAAAAGGTGTAACATTACACTGATTAGGTGTAACGCGGAATTAAACACTGTTCGAGTGTAACATTACACT